CCCCCCCCCCCCCCCCCCCCTGCTAGGAGGGGCTTCTCCGGCAGGCCCCACCATCCTGAACTGTCCCAGGGGGCCACTGCAGATCCTACCCCAGCCCATCGCAAGGCCCCCGGGTGCCCCCCTCCTGGCTTGAAGGAAGGGTAGACAGGAACACGGACACACCAGAGCATACACACAGGGCCACTAGCCTGCCCCGCGTCTCTTCCTCCATTTCTCCTTCCTCCCCTACCTGCTCTCAAACCCTTTCCCTCCACACCCTGCTCCTCACTGCAGATTCCCTCCGTGTGATGCCCACCCCCTCCCCCATAGACTTCCTCGCAGCCTCCCCTCCGCTCTCTTCTGCAAAGGATCCGGATTTGCAGGCAGGAAACCACAGGAAAGCACACATTCCTGTTAGTCTGCCTTCCTTGTGCCTTCTCTCAGGGCTCCCCCCACCTGCTTCCCAGCACCTCTGGGGAGTCACCTCTCACGGTGGAAGAGTCTGAGCCCACATCCAGAGCTCCTGGTGACCCCAGTCATGACACCTGCACCCAGCCCTCCCAGGCTCCCGCCCCAGACTCCGGCCTCCAGCAGCCCTGACCCTCTGCCCCAACTCCTAATTCTTTTCCAGCTCCCCGCTGTGCCTCCACAGGCGTCCTGGGGTCATCTACCTAGACCTCCTGCACGACAGGATTTCGTGCTCCTTCCGGACCAGACAGTTAGAATATGTGTTTGAAACAAACTCCTCTAGCATGGAGAAGTTTAAGAGCCCCTCCCCAAGTGTCAGGAGGGATCTGAGTCCCCTCCCCAAGCTAAGAGTCCCCATGCACCCCACCTTCAACCCCATTCCTGCCCCCTCTTCCCACACAAACCATTTCTAGGTGCAGATGGCTGTTGGAAAGAGTGACAATAAATCCTGAGTCCAGCCAGGTGTAAGATGACCGTTTCATCACCTCTGCACTCCACGGTCTCCCAGTCCCTCGCGTTTCCGGGGCCACACGTCAGACAGGATAAATCTGAGGCCGGAAGCCACATCCTTCCCCACGTTCCCAGTTACTCAAATGGGACATAGGGTGGGGAAGGAAACTCAGGGCCGACCCAAATTTTCTCACCTTCAGCCTTCCTCTGGTCCCCGCCTCCCTAACCCTTCGTGCTGGTCCTTTCTCACATCTTAGAGGCCACAGTGCTGAACAGAGGAGCCGCTCCAGACCCAGGTTCCACAGGAGCCCAAGGACTGATCTTCACCCCAGCCCTCCTGCGTGCCCCCTCCCCCACTGCCTTTTTTGCTGGTTCTCTCTTCTGCCGGTTCCCAGACTCCCTCTATCCCTAGGCTCTTGTGCGGGCTCCCTGCAGACCGCTAACCCAGTTCATTGCCCATCTCCCAACCGTTAGCCCCTCCCCGAGCACAACACGCAGTGTAACCCACAACCCAGGAACCCTCAACCCGGTTCTGGTGGAGAATGAGCAGAAACCTGGCGGAGCTCCCCACTACCGGGCTGTTTCGTTGTGATACATACACGAGAGCACGCAAGTCCCTCAAAATTTCCCGTATTCAGTCCCCATGCCTCCCAGCTCCAACCTGCTGTCAAGATTTACCTCGTTACCATGGAAAACGTGAGCCGGCCTCAGCTCCTGCCTCGGACACCTCCTCCACCCCTCCACCCACCCCGGGAGGTAACGGACTCCCCAGAGGGTCAGGGTCAGCTGGTGCCCTACACCCATCCCCAGTTCCCCCATCCCCGCCCCCACGTCCAGGGGTCCTGGGGAGCGGAAGGGTCACGCTCCCAGCACGACCCACCTCCTAACCCCCTGACCCTCATCTTGAACCTCCAGCCCCTCTGACTCTCCCCAGGCTCCCACACCCCAGCCCACCTCCCTCCAGTCACACGTGGGAGGGGTCCACTTCGCCATCCCAGCGGTCACCCAGGCCAAGGCGCACGGCTGGCCTCCTGCCCCGCTGTCCCCTTGCCCCCTGTCCCCCTGCCCCCTGCCTCGTGTCCCCTGCCTCTGTCCCCCTGCCCCTGTCCCCCTGCCCCGTGTCCCCTGCCCCTGCCCCCTGTCCCCTGCCCCCCCTACCCCTGCCCCTGCCCCCTCCCCGCCCCCGCCAGGACTACCTTGCTGTCGTGGTGGATGAGCTTGAGCTCGTAGTCCGGCAGGATGTCCCTGCGGCTGTTGACGTCCTCCAGCGCCATCTCCACCGCGGGCTGGCAGGCCTGGCCCCCCGGCCAGCCCCCGCTCATGGGGAACAGCGCCCCGATGTACACTGCGCGCCGCTCTGAGGAGGGGTGCGGGGGGACCCGCGGGTGAGGCCGCGGGAGGTGAGGGGAGTGGGAGGCCCAAGCCGGGGCCACCCCCGCCGCCATCACCACCAGGAGCGGCAGCGGCCACCCCGCCCGGGGAGAGGGGACCCCCGGGCCCATGGCGTGGGGGGGGGGGGGGCTGCTTGGTGGGGAGGAGCTCAGGGGGGACACTTTTCCCGGGGAGGGCTGCTGAGGGGGTGTCGAGGCGGCGCCTCCATCCCGGGTTTCGGAGGGCGCAGGGGGCCGGAGCCCCCAGGACGCGCGGAGGGCTGGCTCCCCGTGGCCCCCGCGGCTCCCGCCACCGCCGCTGCCGTGGCCACCGCGGACTCTCCTCGCGGACTGACCGACCGACCGAGGGGAGGAGGAGACGGACGGCTGGGAGGGGGCCCTGACGTCACGGGCGGCGCGCGGCGGCTGGGGGAGGGGCGGAGGGAGGCGCGCGCGCGTGGGAACGCCGGGGGAGGGGCGGGGAGGGGAGGGGCGGCGGACGCGACCCCCGCGGGACACCGGGGAGGGGCGTAGAGGGGAGGGGAGGGGAGGGGAGGGGGCGTGCCGGGAGGGGGAAGGGGGGGGTGGAGAACCGGGGCGAGAACGGGGGTGTGGACGGACGGGCGGATGGATGGGGCGGGGGCGGCCGGGATCGGGGGGGGGGGGGGGGGGGAGACAGGACGCGAAGGACCCGGGATCCGAGGAGGGAGAAGGAGGGGTGGGGAGGGCAGGGGCGGGGGTGCGGGGTCTGGGGGGGAGGGGGGCAAGGCCTGGCCCTGAGACGCGTGCGCGTGGCTGGCGGGGGCGCCTGGAGAAAGCCCGGGGAGGTCGGGGGGAGCCCCGCGGGGAGGAATTGGGGGGCCCCGCCGGGCTCTGCCCTCCGGGAGGAGCGGAGTGGGGAGGAGGCGGAGCCGAGCGCGGGGCGCCGAGCGGGGAGTCGGGAGGGACCGCAGCCTCGCAGAAAACCGGGACTGGAGGCAGAAACCAGGTAGGAAGGAGGGGCCGGCCGCAGACGGGGGGCGGGGGGCGAGAAGGACGGGCCCCCACCGCCTGGGGTGCAGGGGCGCGAGTGGGGGTTCGGGGGTGCAGTGCGCGAGAGGAGGGCTGTCATCTCACCTGAGTGCGGCGTTCGATTCACTGGCAGCAGGAAAGACGGGGATCAGAGAAGAGTTACCACCGGCGCCCGGCTTCCCCGGCCTGAGCCCAGCCCCCTCCCACACCTGTCCATGCCGGGAGGCCCGCGTGCAGCAGAAGCCTGCGTCTCTGAGGGTGGGGGGAAGGGTGCCTGGGGATAAGAGCAAGGTGGGGCTGTGGGTCAGGACCTGTTGGTTTTCTTCTTTCATTGTTCATAGGACAACAGAATTTGAGACAGGACATGGGCAGATTCTGGCTTTGTGGAGCCTAAATATTATAAAATGCAGGGGTCTCTCTTTAAGAAGAAAAAACTGCAAATTACAAATGCACTTGATTTTAAACTGTCGCTGTTAAAATCTTACTTTTGCATTTTTTACAAAAAGCTATGACCGTGTGAACACATTACTAGAGCACAGGAAGAGACCCTGGATAGGATTCCCAGTTTCCAGAATGGAGTGGTGAGGTATAAGCAGAGCAATGACACTCGGGGACCAAGCCAGGCCAGGACCTCCAGCGAGTCTGCAAAAGTGGGGGGCGCATGAGGCCGGCCTGAATCCCGGGGACAAGAGTGCAGGTGCAGAATCTGGGTGCCCAGGACAGGGGGCATTCTGCTGAATGAAATGACAGAATAGGTGTTGGACACCAGACTGAGTGCCCTGGGGAAGGACGGAGGTTGCCCGAGACCCTCCTTCTACCCTCCCCCATCCCCGGGTCATCCTTTAGTGCTCTGACAGTTCTGCCCCCAGTTTTAAGTCTTTTTAAATTTCACCCTGATAACTTTCCACCCCAGATATTCTTTCCAATCTTAATGTTTTTTCTAAGTATGATATGATTTATTTCTGAGTCTTTACAATAATCCAGTTATATAACAAATGGAAAGGAATCAATTGTAGAAGAGGGTTATGCCTAGAAAGTTCTACGTTTAGAGATAGGCTAGGGGAAACTGCAGTATTTAAACCTTAAGAAAGGTGATGGAGGGTGAGATTCATAACGGAAAAGAGAACATGTAGAACTGGGAGCAGGGAGGAGATCTCTAAAGAGGAAGGTAGAGGAAGGGGGCCCCAGCGTAGGCGAAGTGGACACTGATGCTGCAGAAGGGGGCTGGAGAGAGGCAGGCGAGGGCAAGAGTTGGGTTTTCACCTCCACTTCCCCAAAGCCCGCCCCCCCCCCATTTTGCATGGCACCCCTTCCCTTCCCGCCATCCCTTCCACCCCGCTCCCAACCTCTGGCACGCATCCTCAGCTGCATGCAGGCAGCCGGTCCCCTCACCCTGGCAGTGGGGCTTGGGAGCACTCCACTGGCCCTGACTACAGATGCTGCGGGAGCTGCCCACCAGATGGAAGTCAGGGTCACACCGGAAATCCACCCGGGCTCCGTCCAGAGCGGGGAGGTCCCCACCCGTCAGGAAAACCTTCCCGTTTTCCAGGGCCAAGTATGACTTGGAGCAGATTCGGACTGTGGAGAGACACGAAAAGGAAAAGAGAGGCAAGTTGGGGAAGGGGGCCTCAAGCACCCCACTCTTCAGGAAACCTGGCGTCCTCTCCTCCCTTAACCCTGGAAGCATCCACACACCACCCAAGGAAAGGGAAAAGGCGTTTCCATGGTAGGAACCTGAGGTGGAGCTGTAGGTGCACAGAAGGGAATCTTTTCAAAGTCAGCGGCAGTGGGCGGTTCCCTGGCTTTGAGAGTGCGGATGTGTAACTTTAGATGCACAATTGGATTTACCTTTCTTATTATAGTTGGCTTACAGTAATGTCAAACTGGGTTTCGCTTCGTGGGTATATGGCCTCTGCGTTGGAGACAGAGGTATTCAAGACTGCAGTGAAACCATTTTACGAGGGTTTTTGCACAATCTGCCACTAGTCCTCAAAGAGAAGAACTCACAAGCAAGATGAATAATCAAGTTATTTTGTCAAGTGGTCAGTGGCCTAATGCAGGGAGGATGAGATGAGGTGATGTGTGGGCTGCTGACTTTACTGCCTCCAAGTGCGGTAGGGAAGTCCCTCTTACATGGTGTGAGCTCTGTAAATGTCCTTGTGAATTGTGACGGTGGTTGAAAGTGCTGACCTAAGCAATAATGCTAAGTGTGAGGCAGGCCGAGGAATGATCTAGAAGAGAAGAGGGGCTTGGGGATGCTACTCACCGCAGCGGCTGGGAGTGTCCATGTCTGTCCAGGAGCCGTTGGCCAGGCACTTGCGGACCTTGGGCCCCACCACCTCGCGCTCCCCCCGGCACACGTACTCGATCTCATAGTCCACGGGCAGGAAGTTGATCGCCTTCACCTGGTCCCGAGTCAGGCCCCTGTACCTGATGCCCCCTTCCCAGGGCGGGTGTATGATCTGGCACCCTGAGGGGTGAGTGGAAGGCGTCAGAGAGGAATGGCGGGGAGGGGAGGGACAGAGGGCGTGGTCAGCGGGCAGGTGGCGGGCCCAGGGGAGCAGCTGCGGTGCCAGAGGGTGGGGGTCGGGACGGGTACAGAACCCGGGACGAAAGGAGAGAGAGCTCTGCGAGCTCGCCAGTGAGGAAGGAAGGGCGCAGGTTGGGGGTGATGGGCAGAATTAAGAAATGGTGAAGGGGTACACTGTGCCGGCGAGCTTGGTAAAACAGACTGGAGGAGGATTTTTGAGCGAATTAGGCTGAGAGGGCAGGGGGGCCTTAGGCTCCCTGGGCAGCAGTGCAGGCAAGGAAAGAGGGGTGGGGTTGGGCCCATCATGCAGGGTCCCCGAAAGGTGGCCTATGCAGCAGTGTGGGGCAGACAAGAGGGGGCGCTGGGTCACAGGCGGGGGTGATGGAAAGGAGGTCAGGGATGTCACAGTGGGTCCGGCGGACGGGACAGGAATGGGGACCAGAAAAAGGGAGGGGGAGGGGCAGGGAGAGGGGGAAGGGGATGGGGGGTGCCCGAGGTCGCCGGCGAAGGTGCACCTTCGGAGGTGGCGTTGGGGGTCTGCGCCCCGCCCGCGCCCGGGGGGCTGAGGAAGAGCGGCGCCAGCGGCGGCAGCAGCAGCAGCAGCAGCAGCATCTGAGTGACAGGAGGCCGTGAGGGCCGGACCCCCGCCGGCCTGGCCCAACCCGGGAGGCCCGCCCGGCCTCGCCCGCCCGGCCTCCCGGGGCCCGGCCCCGGCCCCGACCCGGCTCCTCCCGCCGACGAGACGCGCGCCCGGCGG